TCCCCACTTGATTGCTCCCTTCAAGTCTCAAGTCAAGTCTTACATCTTCTGTGAAGTTATCCAGAATTTCCCAGGAGACTTTCCTCATGCTTGGTTCACCCTGTACTTTGCATTACAGCATCTGTCAAATATATTGTCAGTTTGTTTTGGTACGCTTAACTCCCACTACTCTGTGAGCAACTCAAGGGCCGGGTCCATGATGTCTTGATCTTAGTATCCTCTGTGACCAGCATAATGCCTGGCTTCATAATATTTCCATAAGAATGAATGCATGTGTACATTCTACTTTTCCTCTCGCGTAAGACAATACCGCCTGCTACTATACTGGGATGACTTTGAGTCATTCTCTGGTGAGTTTACTCCTTTTCCATTAGTTTCTTTGACTTCAGGTCTTGATAGCAGTGGGCAGTATATTTACAAACCACGGCACCCATGGCAACCCATAGCTATGATTGGGCACTTAATGTTTTTCCCCATTTCTCTCCTTGACAAAGTTGTGTTCTTTCAGAGGTATCTTTTTATTTATTTATTTATTTTTTTGAGAGCTTTTTGCTATAGGGCACATGTGCTCGCCAGAAAGACAGAAAGAGAAATAAAGCAAGGAGAAATCACACCCCCGCTCCAGGGGGGATGGCCATGCCATAATCCCTTCTCCATTCTCCTCTTGGGATCTTGGGCATGCATGCTCACACCCGGCATGAGTTTAAGCCACCAGGTCCGGGACTCGAACTCTGGTCGACTACATGGGAGTCCAGAGACATAGCCATAATGCCATCTGCTGGTCCCCAGAGGTATTATTCTTGATTTACTTTTTCTTTCTGCTTCCATTTACACATACTCTTAGTTTATCTAAAGAAAGGTTAGCAGGGCAAGGAATTTCCAGTTCCCCATCTCTGGTAAAGAAGGAACTCAGAATTGTTAGCTTGAATTATGACCTTTAGACTATTTCAGTAAAAGATCGCTGTAGTTTTTCTGCCTAGAAATTTTAATACTTATTTTCCAGTCCCTCAATTGAACATGGTCTTGACTGAGCTAACATCCTGAACCTGCAGCAGAAAAGCCAGCTCCACCTGGATTTGACAGATGGCGTCTGCAGAGCCTGATGAATTTTCTAAGGTGGGTGGGTACATTATTCCTTTCTGTGATGTTTTTGTCTCCTCTGGCTTACAGAAGTAGCTCATAAAAGTGCTCAAAGAGTGCTTATTCAGGTGGTCAAGCTTTGTTTCCTATTTTGAATGAAGTCAGTCAATTCCATGGACTTCCTTGTTTCCTCCTGTTTAGCACATAGGGTCTTATCTCAAGTGTTCAGGCTCTCAGGAAAACTTGAAGATTAAACTTGAAGCTGCTCCTGAGTCAAGCTTGTTTCATTAACATGCCTGCAGCTCACACATGTAGGGTTTAGAGAAACTACACTCTGTCCCCTGGAGACTCATTTACATATTGCATTTCATGGGCACTTGAATTTGTTATAGTTGTGAAGGCTTTGGGTTGAATTTTCTATGCACTTGGGGAATAAACTTTTTCCCCAGCCATACTGACTATGAAATAATTGATCAACCATTTTTCACTCTATTTCTTAATCTATATTAATAGGAAGTTTCTTTCATAATGAATACTAAATAATTATTTACCATAAAACATCTTCCTAAGGTCAGGCTATCCCTGATAATGATCTCCAGAGTTTTTGAAATACAGGTAAATTGAAACAAGAGGAGAGCCATACATTAAGCAAGATTTATGTGAACGAAGACTACCTTCGCCTCCCATGTCAGATCATTAGAAAGGAGCAGATAAACTCAGACATTCATATCCTTTGGCATTTTTGAAAGACCCCCCTGCACCTCCCCACCACCACTCTGCATCCCCCATCATCAGGCTCCCCAGGCTATAGTCACTTGCCCATCTTGTCCTAGTCACTGTCTCTCATTCTTTGACAGTTTTACTTCCTGTCTCTCTGTCACTTTCTCAGTGTTCATTTTGACACACACTTTAGTTATTTCAGTGACCCTGAAAGGATGATCCTTTCCTGCACCATCACCTCTCAGTTTCTTGATCTCTTCTCCATTGATCTTACCTTCACCACAACCTTATCTGCTCTGTCCTAGTGGACACACCTTAGAATTTGTCACCATTGATAACTGAATTTCTCTATAACTTCAATTTCAAGCAGTCCTCTTTCCAAATGCCACATTTTTTTTTTTTTTTTTGGTCATATGGTGTGTGTGCTCATTGGAGAGAGACAGTGAGAGGGAAAGTGAGAGATCACCTCCCAGGGGCATGGCCATACTGCAATCACTTCTCTTCCATTTTCCTCTTGAGATTTTAGGATGCATGCACATGTGTCCAGTGATTTTCAGGCCACTTGGTCTGAGACTTGAGCTACAGTCAATCACGTGGGAGTCCAGCATCTTAGCCACCGTGCCACCTGCTGCACTCTCCTCTCCAATACCACTTTCTGTCCTTAAAACTTACTATCTCTAATAATCTTAACTCCAATAATCCACTGGTCCCTCTGGGATATATTGATTCTACCCAATTTTTACCATCCCACAGTTTCTCCATTTTAGATCTTGGCTCTTGCAGGCTTTAGTCCTGATTTTCCTTCCTACTCAGTTTAAATTCCAAGGTCCATTACTATAGTAACTGCCTTATATAAGCCCTCAGCTTCCTTGCCCTTTCCTTCTCATCTTACAAAACCCCATCTGAACTTACACAGATAAATTTGGCTGAAGGATCAACACACAGACACAGACATGGTCTCACAGTAAATTGATTAGTACAAGTCTTCAGCATATTCTTAAAACCGTCTGGCCACCATGATGCCTACCCATAATCAATTCACTCTTCTGTTCACCTACACACCCCCTCTCTCCTTAAGGTTCCAGTGCTTCCTTCTCATTCTCACTAACAGCTTCTGACCTTGCTTCTGACTTCTACTGAGAATACAGAAAAAATAGAAGAGAACTTCAACAAGATACCACCCTCCCACCACCACCAATCCCTCTGCTAACCTCAAGGCCATGTACTCTGCCTTCTTTTATATTACTGTCTGTTCATGGACTTCTTTTGTCCCTGAGAAATCATTCCAGATATTTTCTTTCTCTTCCTGTATCATTTTTTTTTCTCCTAGAAAGGATTTCCTCATCAGCATATAAATATGGTATAATATCACCCACATATAAAAACAACCTCTCTGTCCAACCTTGCCTAGCCAGCGTCACTCCATTTCTCTGCTTCTCTTTATGGCAGTCTTCATCAAAAGAGTAGCATCCACTTTTTTCTTTCCATTCTCCATTGAGCCCAGTCCACTGATGCTTTAGCTCCTACTTCTCTGTCAAACTGATCCTTTCAAAGTCATCAGTGATTTTCGTATTGGTGAAATCTATGGTTGATTCTTGGTCCTCACATCTTGCCTCATATATGAGCTACATTTGGTGGGACTGGCCACCCAATACTCTTGAAAACGTTTCCCTTACTTGGATTCCAGGACTCCATTCTCTCCTGATTCTACCATGTTCCCACTGCATTGGATACTTGCTTTCTGTTTCTTTGTTGGTTCATTTTTCCAGTCTAATGTTGGATATTCTAGGACTCAGAAAACATGCCTCAATTTTATAATCTCCACTCACTCATTAATCTCACTCAGTAGTATAGCTTAAATAGCATCAATGTGTGAATGACTCCCACATTTATAGATCTAGCCCAGATCTCCTTCCTAAACTCTAGAGTAACATAAGTAACATACTCATTTCCTATTTGACAGCTTTTCTTGGATGCCTAAAAGGTATCTTGAACTTAATATGTTCAAAATCAACCTCCTAATTGCCTTCCTCCATAAATTTCTTCTGTCTGATTCCTCCATATCTCATTTGCTAGTAACCCAATCCTTTTAGTTAGCCAGGCCCTAAAACTTGAGAATCATCATTTTCTTTCTTCTTTTTTCTCACATTCCACATAGAATCCAACAGAAAGTCTTCCAAGTTCTAGATTCAAACCAAAGACCTGGGCCAGCTCTGTGGTTCGGTCATTAAGGCAACCACATCCCACGTGGTCAACAGTGCAGTTATGGTCAAGACTCAGTAGCTTGAGAAACAGGCTGGGTGCATGTGTTTGTGTCCCCAAAATTCCCAAAGGAGGGAGAAATGGAGGAGAAGGGATTGTTGTGTAACCATTTCCTGTGGGGATCCTCACTGACCCCTCTGTCTCTCTCTGGTGAACACATGCACCCTCTGGTGAAAAAAACAAAAACAAAAACAAAACACAGACCTAATCTGACCACTTCTCACTATTTCCTCAGCTACCATGTTGGTTTATACTCTCTTAGGTTACAGGGATAGTCCTGAAGATGCTTAATGACCTGAACACCCAGGCTGCCTTTTCCCATGTCTAGGGAATATCTGAAAGCCTCATGCCTCCCCAGGTTTCATCCCCAGATTTTGCCATTTTAAATTCATCCCTATGCTGAGAGTTGTTATCTCTACATAGCCCTCTTTAAATATTTATATTTTGGGGTAGGAATAATAATTTTTATTTATTAATGTGTGTGTATGTCACTTCACCTCCCAAGATTATAAAAGTGCATGAAATGCATAACACTATAAAAAAAGTAAAGAAATTAACCAAGGAAAAATAAAGATGGAAAAAATCCAAGTGAATGGAAGGAGGTATGTGGTGAACATGTAGGTGCATACTATGAGATCCTTCACACTGACTAAATGGGAGGGATGTATGAGTCTTCCTCTAAGATGTGTTTTAATGTGAGGCTGCTTTCTGCTCTGTGAACCCCCCTGTGGCACCACAAACTCAGGGACTGCTTGGGCCTAGATGGGGAGAGGGTCATGTGGGGCAGGAAAGGCTTGGAAGGACAAGGAAGGCAGTGTTGGTTGGTAAGTCTCCTCCTCACTGGAGAGTTTATCCTGATCTGTGCCACAGTCAGCCCTGGTATCCTTCCCAGTCTCACACCCTCCAGCCCACCCCCACAGGACACCCTGAGTACTTACCAAGACCCAAGCAAGAAACTCTGAGTCCCGATTTTCCAAGATTCCTGGAATAAAAACAATGCAACACATGGTCATCATTTTCTCAGATGAGCCCACACATTCAGCTCACTCTATCTCACTTTGGGGGGCACTATTCTTGCTAACAGTCATGATGGAGGCAAAGCTGCAAATGCAGGCTACGGCCTGGAGAAGAGTCTCTGTCTCATCACCGTTTGGACACTGGCAAGCTTGAAATCTGCCCAAGCTCAGCACAAGAACAAAATGTCTCTCATAAAATACAGCTTTTAATTCCCAAATAATCTTTATTATTAGGTTGTCAGGAAAGTCATGACATATTTTCCTATGAAAAAATACATCATGACTTTCCCAACTACCAGATAATTTGTTCACACATTTATTGTCTTTTTTCTTCTAGAATGTGAATGTCCTGAGGACAAGAAACTTCACCTTACTCACCAATCATTCACTCACTCTTCATCAGCAAAGCCTGACACACAGACCCTTTAATAAGTGTGTTGACTTACTGACTAACAAACTGACTTTAAAGCATACAGGGATTATTAAATGAACAAATATAAAACTATTCTTTGGGTTATCACCACTGTGTTATTTTATATACAGAGTTACATAAAATCACCACAGGAAAGTCAAATAGTTCTTTTAAAAATGATTCTTTTCTTCTTCCTCAACATTCTTTGTTTTTATCCCTAAAAGCTTGTCAAGGAAAAGAAAAACATTTTGATCTCTAAATAGGGATAGAAATAGGAACTCTAGTGTTTTGTTTTGCTTAATTGCCAGAGGTCACATACTCTTGCCAGAGAGAGAAAGGGAAAGGAAGAAAGCAACTGTAGATGGAAAATAACCAACTCTAAAAAATTAATAATTAATGTGGTTTATTTCCAAATAGAGTATGAGTGACCTAGGCCCCTTTCTCTCTCAGGGTGATCAGGTATAGGGGTTCCTTTTTATTTGATTTGAGAGCAAGAGACAGAGTTTTTAATTCAGTGAAGTTTTTCCATTGGTCTGGCCCAAAAAGGTGAGACATGCCGAAGGTGGGGATTGTAGGTTATAGGTGGGTTTTACAGCTTTTACGGTGGTCATTGGAAAAGGAAGCTTGCTGAGATCAGAAAGGAATGTACTTTAACAGTGATAAGGAGGCTTAATATACTTCACAAAGATACTCCAATACTATGTCAAGGGCAGGCTATAGGAAGAATCCTGTTACTAATGGACCAAAGTGGTTTGTCAACATCTGTGGGCATGACTCTCCCTAGACCCTCTGGAAAGGACTTTGGAAAAATAGGAAAAAGCAGTCAGACTTCTGTCCATACAACTTCCAGTGGGATGTGGTCCTGCTGCAATCCTCTTCTCCATCTCCCCATCCTGTCAGGATCTGGGGTATGCACACACACACAGGTCCAACATATTTCCAAGCATCCTGGGCTGATATTCAAACCATACTTGCCCAAATGGAATCCAGCTCTCTTAACCACTAGGCCACAAGGCTGGTCCAAGAAATTCTAGTAACTATACATTGTGAAGATACAGATTTAATCCACAAATTCTCAATGAGGAGGTCTCATAGAATTATTCCAGGGACCCAAAGGTAAAGCTGAAATCATTGTAAAATTATCTATTAAATGATGCATCCTTTATTGTCTGATCAGATACTATCATAAGACTACAACTTCCCTTCTTGCTTTCACTCCAAGCAAAACAACATGGAACTTTGCAAGCTGCTCTGAGTATAGCAGCTCACTTCCCCAGATTCCCCTTGATTCATCGTCAATGTTGTTTTTCTAGGTTAACAATTAGTACTCTCATTTTTGCATTGTATTTCTTTGTTCTGCTTGTTATTGTCGTGTATAAAAGGCCATCTAAACAACACATTTAATTTCACAGAGTTGTCAAAAGTGCATCACAATGCAAAGTTGAAAGACCTTATTTTTTGACCCACTGGCACAATTAGCTGAGAGACCTTAGGGAAATCACTGCCTTTTTCTGGGGTTTGATTTTTTCATTAGTAAGATGGTCTGTTGACACCTGTGCTGTTCACCTAGTATCCCTGTGGGAGCATCAGAAGGTGATAATGTGCAGTGAGCAACTGCAAGGCATAAAGATTTTTGGTGTGTTCTTAATGGGTTGGCCCTCTCATAGACATGGTTCTGAATTTTCCCATAGTCATTGAATATTCATGGAATAATTAATTAAACTGGAATTTTAAAAAAGAATTATTTTAACTTTTTAAAAAAAGTTATTTTAGTTTGACCAGAGAGGGACAGAATGACAGTGAGAAAAGAAAATGAGAAAGCAAGCTGCCAGGTCCAGGACTCAAGCCGCTGTTGGCCATGTGAGAGTCCAGTGCCCATAACCACCACACCATCTGCTGGCCCCAATTAAATTGAATTTTAACTGAATGACATTAATGATATAGAAGGACCCCAAATTCATAAATAACCCAGGGCTGATAGCTGCCTGAAATTTTTGCCCTCTGGCAAACTTACTTCCCCTCCCGGGAGTTACAGGATAACCTGAAACCTTGGATAGATTAGTACCTTCAATAGATTAGACTTCCTGCGTCTCTGACTCCACCCTTTGATGCTGCATAGGGCGGGTTCTGAGCCCATTCCCTATCCCAGGACTTCCCCTTCCCCAATCCCCCCATAAAAGACCATGTCCAACTTCCAGTCAGAGCCAGAGATTCAGAGTGCTAACTCCTCCATGCCCTCCAGTGTAATGAACAGTTCTCCTAATCTCTCTGAATGCTGCTTTCCATTCCTCTTTGGCGTCTGGTTTTCTGCAACATTACAAATATAACTGCAAGAAAACTGTCACATAAAGGTGCATGTGAAAAATATTTGGAAATACTAACTAGGAGAAAGTTAATTGGATTTCTCATACAAATGACTTTCATAAGAAATTTTCTTTGAGTAGTTTCTCAAAATCCATAGGATGTACAACCACAAGAACTTCCTTTGTAATCTGCAAGTCTGATTTTAAAGGATAGGAATCAAGAACAAAAGCTATATAGTTGGGAGAATTTTAAAAAGGTTAAAGCCAAACCAAAACAAACACACCAAAACAAAACAAAATTTTAAAAAAAAAGCGAATAACTTTGTCTTCCATATAGAGACATTCACTAATGAATTGATAAATATTTATTGAGAGATTGCCATATTCTGGGCAATGTCTTAGGTCATGGGAATACAGAAGTGAACAAGGAGCCTCTCAGTGGGGTATGTACTACTGGGGAGAGCTTTGCTTATGGAGAGCTTTGTGAGCTTGTAACGTTTTAGGGGCAAGCTACCTCAGGCTTCCTTTCGCATAACTTTGTGGGTATCATAGGGAAAGGGATCTAGGTAAGGGTTTTCTTGTGATTTTTGATACCTTTTGTGGTTTTGAGAACAATAGGGAAGCTAGACTTGGTGCATAAAACTGTGGAGCAAGACAGTTCTAAACTAAGGCTTTATAATCAGAGATTTTTGTAATAAACTCAGAGAGGGCAAGGTTACATCACTGGGTACCTACAGAGCAGTATCTCAGCACTCAGCGTGGGGAGACCTGCCCTATATTCCCATGGAAACAATCTAAGAAGATAATAGTCACTCTGTTATGGGTCTAGACGACTGAACAAAGAACTATGAGCAATAACAAACTGCAAAGTAGCAAGTACTAAATGTAGTTGATCTTCTTTCCACTGCTAATTAAACACTCAGGACATATTTTCTGGAATGAAAGCCTTAGAAGGTTTTAAAATGTAAGAAAATTTCAATTAGGCAAATATTGATACAGTGGTGATAGATTCCCACCTTAAACCTTGGTGTTATTTCCCTTAACTCTTTAATTCCTTTAATTATTTCTCTAAAGATTTCGTTTGATATCTAGAGGGAAAGGTTTTCAAATTCAGGTGGGCATCTTAGGCATTTTCTTTGTATGAGAGATACATGGACCTGTAAGTGTATTGCCTTTCGTTTGTCCAGGTGCTGAGATTTAAGTGGTATGTGTGTGTGTGTGTGTGTGTGTGTATATATATATATATATATATATATATATATATATATATATTGGCTAAAGGTTGTGTATACTTGCCAAAGAGACAGAGAGGCAGAAAGCGAGAAATCAGCCCCTCCGGCCCCCACAGGGCAGATAATCACACCGCAATCCCTTCTCCTCCATTCTCCTCTCAGAATTTTAGGCATGCACACACACACATGCCTGGCATGAGTTTTAAGCTGCTGGGCCTGGGATGTGAACCACAGTCAACTACATGGGAGTTCTGCAATGTAACCATTATGACATCTGCTGGTCTCTACAACACACTTAATATGTAATGGTGCCCTTCACTTTGCAGATGGAGAAAGTAGTAGGAGCTAGCTACCTCTAATGCAGGGCAAAGAATTTTAATCCTTTTTCTGTGATCCAAGTGGTGCATCTGCATCCTTCTGCCTCTGTCCGGGTCTGTGCAATATTGAGTAGACATATGGCATTTAACCAGTTACTCTGATCCATTTAGCTCTAGTAGATGATAAAAGTCTTGATACTTCTATTGACACATTTGATCTAATGAGTCCAAAATATCATTCTGTAGCTTGTTTGTGTGGCTATCACATCAAATAGTGGCCAAGTTTAGCCACCATGCTGGGCTATAACACATACTCATGGCACCCACATGAACTTTGCATAATCTTGTGTGACAAGATCATGCAAGACAACTTTATGTAATTTCATTTTTTTTTAATTCCTCAGTGTTCATATGAGTAAGGCTACATAAAAATTCTATAAGCACATCCAACTCCAATTAGATTGAATTTCTTTCCTATATGATTCAAAATAGTTTCACTGCAAGGGTTACCTATTTTATCTGTGTCAGATATACCAGAAGGAAGTCTCACCATGCTCATTTTTAGTATCTGCTACTGTTCAACTCAAAATAAAAGCTTCTCTTTTCCAGGTGAACCTGAACTGATCTGCTGCTAATATTAGACATGAATGACATCAATATGGGGGCCTGGGACACTTATTTTTTTCAGTCAGATTTTGGAAA